CAATTGATTACAATACGTGCCTTGCAGCGACAGACACTGCTCGACCCCCTATTGTCGCACACAGGCTGACACATCAGCGAACAGCTGTAACGAGCGCTACTCTGGTTTTCACGGCAGTCAACAACAGCGACAGCATCTACAAGGCAGGAACCGTCTGTCGGCAGGGTCCGGAACGCGGCACACAAAAGAACCGTATACGACAGACCGGCGCCAGTGGACGGGACGCGAGACACGAGTGGGGCATGCATTATGACATCGACGCCGACCTCTACGGAAACAAACTAATGAAGAAACCCGTATAACTGTAGGGGAAAGAGAAGGAGAGAGATAGAGAGAGAGAGAGAGACAAACGCCGAGCGCACTACTGACGTAAAGGAGGTATGAGAGAGCGAAAGAAGAGAGAGAGATAATGAGAGAACAATGACGAGAAAGGTAAGAAACACGTGGAGCACAAGCACAAGACAAGGAAACACAAATGCAGGAAGACAATGAGGAATAGGGCCCGGACAGAGTAGGAAATCGGACACAGCCAACTGCGACAGCGTGGACCAAGGGACAATGCAGTTGGGAAGGAGATGATCATGAAGGGAGTCAGCAGTGCATGCTGCGTCCTACACGTGCACTTTCGCAACCTCAGACTTCCGTTACTGCGATAAGGCCAGCTGCAGCATATTACACGATAGACTTGAAGACACACGATGCCTCCACAGGCATACTTAACGTATGTAGGCATAATGAGATAGGCAAGTTATGAAAGACAGAGCAACCTGAAACCCTAAACCCTAAATCCTAGACCCTACATCCTAAACCCGAAACTCTAAACCCTTAAACCTTGGGACCTTATCCCTGCTCCCGATGTTTGCAGCCTGCGGCGCCTCTTCGGGAGCGGAAAGAAGCGGCCTCACGAGCCTTTCGTCCAAGCGGCCCCTTTTTGGCCCGCCGGCCGTGTCGCCCGGTTTAGGGTTTTAGAGATTTGGGTTTAGGGTTTAAGGTGGGTTTAAAGTTTAGGGTTTAGGTGGTTTCGGGTTTGGGGTTTGGCTCGACAGCCAAGCGCAACTCGACATGCCATCACTCACGCAAGTCAGCTCAATGCGCCACAACATCAAATATAATAAGCCCAGCACCAAAAAACGTGCTTTTCTTGAAGCGTGTCAGCCACAGGCGCTCGGACTCTGCTTCTGCTCGAGCCTCCGCTTCATGCCACTTTTGTCTGGTAGCTCCAGGTCAGGTGGCACTTGCTCCACAAGTGCTCTTGCCAGCAAGCCTCGCCGCCGCCGACCATCCTCCAACACGTGGGGTACTTGGAGGTTCATGGGTAGTTATAAGTACGGTTATAAGTAGGGTAACTATAGTTATAACCTATATTAGGGGACTTATCCCTAAACCCTAAACCCTAAACCTACATTAGGGGACTTGTAACTCCACTTATAACTACCCATGAACCTCCAAGTAGTTGCGCAGTTCCACCGGACGTGTCGCTCTTGCGAGGAGCGCAGTCGTGCTTGCCGACATCCTAAACTTCGCGCCAAACCCTCTGCCCCCAAAGAGTCGACAGTCCAAGCATGATGGCAATAAGATGGGGCTTAGGGCATATGGCTTACCTATAGTCTCCATTGTAGTTCCTTTCTTCGGTTTAACCAATTCTACATTAAGGATCCTGAAGGGCAACCCCAAAACAGGAACCACAATAGAGACTATAGGTAAGGTTGAGGGATGTCAAGCATGAACTAACTCTCTCTCTCTCTCTACCTTTGGAGTTTTCGAAGACAGGGGAGGCCCTATTGATGAGGATGCCACTATCTGAAACTGCCATCAATGTATCTATGTATACATCCATCTATCTATCTGTCTATCTACCCAGCTATCTAACTAAGCATCTATTATCCCTAAACCCTCAACCCTAAACCGTTCATCTATTCATCTATACATCCGACCCGAAGATGAATCCGAGACCCGAAGATGAGGCCTCGACGCCATCAACTCCACCTAACTGGAGCATGCAAGGTTTAGGGCTTAGGGTTTAGGGTTTAGGGTTTAGGGTTTAGGGTTTAGGGTTTAGGGTTTAGGCCAAGACGCTACACATTAACGTTGAAACCCTGCAGCGCAGAGCTCTGGATCATGACTCCCATATAGCTTCCCTATCAAACCGTACCTGCAGCCCGTCTATACAGAGCCCTCAGATCCCATATGAAACTCCCCACCCTCCAAAACCCAAAAACTCGTGAACTCCTATTTGCTCCCAAACTCCACACCCCAACCTAAGACCCCTTCACGCACCAAAACATGGCGAGCGGGACATTGGTCCAGGTTCCACCCTGCGAATGAGCGGTTCCATGGGCCAGTTTTCGGGGTCCTTGCGTTGAGGATCCCACTATTTAGGGTCTAATTGTTGGTTCCCTGATTCTCTGAAACTCCCTATAATCGATACAGTTATAGATACATACACGTAAGAGCACTCCCTGTCCATGCCACTCTCACTCTCTCTCTCTCTCTCTCTCTCTCTCTCTCGCTCTCTCTCTCTCTCTCTCTCCCGCTCTCGCTCTCGCTCTCGCTCTCGCTCTCGCTCTCGCTCTCGCTCTCGCTCTCGCTCTCGCTCTCGCTCTCGCTCTCGCTCCCTCTCTCTCTCTCTCTCTCTCTTTTTCTCCTGCTGCATTCTTATGACAAAGACGTCTCCGTTCCTTCATTGAGACACATCATATACTCTAGGAAGTTATTGAACATTCCTTCACGACAGGAGCGAAACCATCAAATCTACAAACGAGAAAGCAGCCTGATAAGAGTCAGGCCCGGGTCACTTATAGGATTTCCGGACTCGGTCTCAAAATTGGGGGGTTTTGGGTTTAGGTTTTAGGGACCAACCCCACTAAAACATCCCCTAAACCCGAAACCCTAAACCCGAAACCCTGCAAACAAACATTCACACCTAAACCCTAAACCCTAAACCCTAAACCCTAGTCCTCTGACCCCAGAGCCTCAGTTGAACCTTCAGCCGAAACCCCTAAAGCCTGAACCTGAAACGTTAGTTTAGGGTTTAGGGTTTAGGGTTTAGGGTTTAGGGTTTAGGATTTAGGGTTAACTACCCCCCAAAACCCTAAACCTCAGACCTTGAACACTTCATGTAATCTTCATATGGGTAGTTCTCCAAATTGGCGGTCCGCTTTCAAGCCCCCCAAAATAGTACGGCACCCTAACGGTGACCCTAATATTTGGAAAACCCTAAACCCTAAACCCTAAATCCCTAAACCCGAAACCCTAAACCCATAAACCCTAAACCCTGCACCCTAAACCCTTAAACCCTAAACCCCTAAACCCTAAAACCTATGAAACCTAAACCCTACCCATATACTCCAACCCAAACCCTCCACCCGAAACCTCAAACATCCTAAAACCCTAGTCCCCAACTCCCGCAGACCCTACCGTAAACCTCGACATCGCCTCCTAAACCCTTAAGGGTGTAGGGTTTAGGGTTTATGGTTTAGAAGGAACCCCGAAATCTTACAACTTAACCCTGTAAACCTTTAAACCGTAACCCAATGGCATCGCCAGGTGGGAGGTTGATTCCCTGCTTTTCTGGGCATTGACCAAAGAGATAGTACATGGCCTCAATGGGTTTTCAGAACGGGTCTCATATTGCTTTGCAAATCTTGGGTCTAGAACTAGTAATGGCCACCCTAAGCCCTAAACCCTACCCCCCTAAACCCTAAATCCTAAACCCTGTAATGGCTTTTTCTTGGGTTTCGGAAGGGTGGTATAAGGATTTTATACGGCTCACAAAACCCTAAACCCTAAACCCTAAACCTTCAGGTTTCAGGAGTCTGCTGTTCGGCTTCAGGAGCGTGGTCTCGGGTTGAGAGCTACCAAGTTGAAATTCAAGCTCTTAGGGTTTAGGGCTTAGGGTCTTGAGTTCAGGGTTTAGGGTTTAGGGTTTCGGGGTTAAGTTTTTTTTGACGGACCTTTTCTCACCGCAGCAAGAAGTCAGTACGACTAGGTCGCCCCTATGCGAACTGCCCCACGAAACTCACAGGATCGTGCCCTCATTGCCTTCACAGAAGATGTTCTCAGCCAGCAGTCTCCCCCTTCTGTTCCGTCTTCTGCCATGTCTCGAACTGCTGCTCTGCCCGCTTCACCAACTCCGCTTCCCATGCTTTTCGCCGTTCATTTTCCTCCCATAGCACTCGGTCTCCCTCCTCCTCACGTCGTTGCAGCTTGAACTTCTCCAACTCCGTCATCTGCTCGTACTCCTCGGCCTCCTTCGACTCAAACTCCTTCGCCAAGTCAGCTGCAAAGGCCTCGCAACCTGCAAGCTCCACCTCGTTTAGGGAGTCGTTTACCTCTGTACCTCCCCAGGGCACAGTTTCTCGTAGGTCCATATTGCTGCTATGTTGTCCCCTTTCGTGCACCTCCTCATTGCTGCCCGTCGCCTCCGCCTGCGCCTGCATTGCCACACTTCCTTCCGGCAAAACTGCAGGTATCGGTGGGTCTCGAGCTGGAGGTTGAGGTCGTGAGGTCCTCGACGTGCCTTCAGGTGCCACTTGGACCCGTATGTCCAACCCCCACGACGGGTCCCAGTCGACGTTCATGTGAGCCACAGCAGGAGTGGGACAGTCGCTCGAAGAGGCAGCCTGACTGTTCCTGGGGGTCACGGTCACCTCAATGCGTCGCCGGCGTAGAGGGGGAGCTGCGTGGAGGGCATCCCACATTGCCCAGTCATCCCACTCTTGGCAGGCCTTGCTCTTCTTTTGTTCCAACACCTGGTTCGCCTCGTTCTCCGCTTCCTTTTCGTCCATGTAATCGTTCCATCTTTGGCGGTCGAGCTCCATCTGCTCCTCTTCCTCACGTTCATGCTCCTCTTCTTGTTTTGCGCGGTCCTGCTCCAGTGAGGGAGGATTGGGAGGAGACTCTGCGCTCGCCGCTGCCGTCATGGCATCCAGCTGGGTTTGCTCTTGCCCCACATCATGGTCGAGAGCTGCTCGGAGGTCTGCCCACCACGCCTCCACGAAGTCGAGATCATCCCCTCTGGGTGCTTCTTGGAGGAGTTCACCGTCGACGTAGCTGGCCAGGAGTGCCTCGCACTCCTCGACAAGTTCGTGCACATTACTTCGTGTCTTTTCCAGCTGGTACTGGTGCACCAGTCTGCCAAGTAGTGCACGAGCACGCCTATCAGCCCTCGCCCATGGACACAAAGAGGTAGCTAAGGCCCTGAATGATCATCCTGGTGCGGCATGGGGCGCCCATGAGCTTGGTGAGGCTCGTCTGCATGAGGGCCGTCTCCTCCTGTGCGGGCGGCGGAAACCAAAGAGCTGGTCCGCGTCGTTGGGGGGACCGCGACCTGGAGAGTCTCATCCTCTTACTTCACGTTCAAGCCTCTGCCCGCTCAGGTAGTGTGGCCCCCTGTACCCCAACTGGTCCAGCTCAGCTTCTTCCGCCCTGTGCTCCATCGCAATTGGGCAGATTTGCCAGTACCAGTGGTCCTTGATCCGTTTCAGGATTGTCCTCAGGAGTTCAGTTACCTCTACCTCGCCCGGAGTTCCTCGCCAGTTGTGCAGGGGCGGGCTGACGTGCTCTTGATGAAGCCACATGGCTCGAATCAGCCCGTTCGTGTAGATGAGGTTGTCCTCTGTCATCCTCTCGTCCCCTTCTGCTCGGAGTGAGTCCTCCAGTCGATGGGCAAGGTCGTACTCGTCGGCGCCTCTGTCCATCAAGTCCCTCAAGTCGTCCACAGCCTCCCACCACCAGTTTGGAGAGGTCTCCCCCTGCCAGGGTTCGTCAAACCCCCGGGCCACTGTCGGCAGCGCTAGCCACAGTGGACCAACCGACATCAGGGATGTGGCTTCCTCCTGCTCCTCGTGCCCCTGTCGCTGGTGGCTCGACTGCCTGTTCAGCCGCCGCCCCGGGTAGGCAGTAAGGAGCGAGGCCGGCTCTTGTTCCATGTCGGTGTATGGGCTTGACGAGGAAGAGCTGCTTTCCTAGCCGCCGGTGTCCCATGGGAGTCAACCATGACCATATTCCCCCCCGAAGGAGGTGGCTCGTGCAGTAAGTCCCATCTTCCCGCCCGCACCAAATCATCACGGGTCGAATACGATCCATTGGGCCAGATGTGCGCCGCGTGAAATATCTCGAAGGGGAGGCGCGGTCTGTCCCCGGAGCTTGCGCTGGGCCCGGCCTCGCTGGAGGTCACTGTCGTCTCCGGTGGATCGGGGTCCAAGTTGTGGAGGTCACCTCCCAGCTGCCTGAAGATCGCGTCTGTCCATTCCTCACATGCGACCGGTTTGGTCTCCCCCTCACTCGCCTCCGGCTCTTTGCGCACTCGTAGGACGGCTGGTAGTTCTCGTAGTGCACGATCCCTGACCCCATCATCCGGACACCTCCTCAGCAGATCCCTTAGCCGCCGAATCGCCATATCCCCCCTGCCTTGCTGCATGAGGAACCGTAGCCCAGCCCTGGCGGTGGAGCACCAGGCCGGCTCATCCATCGGCGCCGTCTTGGTACGTGGAGGCGGGTGCTGCATGAAACAGAGGTCTTCCAGATCCTTGGCACGATCTTCTCCCCCTTGTTTGCGGTGCTGTCGGGTATACACCTGCATCCAAAGCTCTTCCTCACTTTCCTCGACAACCTCAGGGTCGAGGACGACCTCCACCATATCATCAACTTCACCTGCTCCCGCGGAGGGGTTTTCGCTGCTAGTCGCTCTCCCTCCCGTGCTCCCTGCAGGGCCGCTCGGGCATTCATTGGTTGTCGGCACATCTCCTCCTCCCCCGGCTCCGGGGTGGGTAGCGGGTCCTCTTCCGTCAGGCTCTGTACCTCGTGTACCCGAGCTCGCAGTTGCCGGTCCGACTCTGTCACGACCAGCTCTCGGTCCGTCATCCCTCGCCCTATGTGCCTGGTTGATGAGCTGGGTCAGCTCGTCCTGGATGAGGTTGAGGCATTGAGGGAGGCTCCGCAGCATCAATCCTCTGGCACGGTCGCCCATTCTTCCAATGGCCGTCACCACCGAGTGTTGGACATCCTCTGGCACCATGGTGGGCAGGCTTCCCCCGGTCGTGTCCAAGAATCCCAGGAGTTCAACCCACCTCTCGATGGCAGCATCCGTGCTGTCCGGTTCATTTCCAGACGTTGGAGGGCTGTGGAAGACCCCTTGTGGGGTGAGCCATACGGTCGACTCCGTGACCCTTGTTCTCCCCGATGAGGTTCGCCTCGCTGTTGCGGGAGCGGTCTCTGCGTGTTTCCACGAGCATGGTTACATCCATCACATCCACCTGGTCCCTATCTTCGAATTGTGGGGCCCTCAGCACTTCCATGCCAGGATGGTCCCTTGCTCGCGAATCACCTCGATGTGGTGCAGCAGGCCTGCGGTGGTCAGCTCGAGGTCGGAGGTCAAGAAGTGCGTCTTCACCCGGGCATACACAACATCCGTGTGGTTCTCCCCCTGAAAGTCCAGGGTGGTCACGCCCCTCTTCTCTCCCCGCGCATAGTCCATCGCCCCTGTTCGCTCGGATCTTTGCTTGTAGACAACGTGAGCCCCTTGAGCCCATCTGCTCGGAACTCGCCATCTTCACCATTGCCGGGCGAGCCTTCTCCTTTTCGACCTGGCACGTTCACATCGGAGTTGGGCTCGCTCCCTGTGGTTATACACTCTCTCCCCCCGGTCCATCGCTCCCATTCGCTCCGATTTTTGCTCGTAGACGAAAAGGTGCGGGTTCGTCTTGGCATTCTAGAGCACCCTGTTCTTCACCTCCACTCACCTCAATGCCCTCGCTTGCCCGGGAACGTGTGCTCCGCATCGTCCCCGGCCCCGCCTGGTAGTCGTGTACTTCATGGCGAGGGCCACCAATATTCCCTTCTGTGTGTCGGGCATCATCTTCTTCACTCAGGCAACCCCAGGGCTCGTGTTCGTCAAGTACAGGTTGATGGTCGTCCCCTGGCCGCGAGTGTTTCGCAGCCTCCCTGCAGACATCCTGGGTTGTGAGGTTTTGGTATCGAATTTGGTAGGGCTCCAAAGGTGTTAGCATCTGTACAAAGTTGCGCGCAGCGTTGCAGTATTCACCAATGTCGCCGGGCACCCATGCCTCCGGCAGAGGTCCCTTCAAGATCATGTAGAAAACGGCGGTCACGGTCATCACGACCCCGCCAAGGTATGGAAAGCGAGCCGACATGGCCCTTCGCCGGGTTGTGCTTGAGGCTCATGGGCTGAGGAGCATATCCACTATGAAGGTGTCATTCGCCCTCAATACATAAGCCAAATCACTGCAAATCGAGCACTGCCGTCTGCCTGCCCGAAGTCCACGGCACATCAACTCTCCGAACCCATTCCCCAAGCAGGCCTTTCCAAGCTTCCCTGTCTGTGGCTTTCCTCCTCCATTCCATACCTGCCGTCAGGTCCATTTCTTTTTCTTCTTGCATCATGCGGGCATAGAAGTTGCCATTGTGTCTAATCCCATATGTCTTCTTCTTTTCCGCCTCCCACCACGTCCTTGTTCGAAAGGAAGAAACCACCGAGGACGCCATCGGCGGAACGAGTTGCCCCCCCCTAGCCACGTGACCTTGGTAAAGCCAGAACCGTTCGGTCCAAAGAGTCGACCACCTTTTATGCCCCCCTCTCCAGAGAGCTTCTCTCGCCACACGAAAGATTCTCTTGCGATGACCAAGCCACTCCTCTCCCTGCCCTCTCTTGAGTTTCATCATATAGACGACCAGCTGAAGTTGAAAGCTGTTTAAGACTTCTTGTGCCACCTTATCGGGGTAGAAGGCGGCGATGCACCATAGCCCGGCACCGCCACAAACCCGCTCCAGCAGCCTGATGCGATGGTGTAAAGAGGCCCTGCTCCCAAGCAAGTGGTAGCACCCCCAAAATTTGTCCCGCGCCCTCGCCAGGAGCGAGGTAAGAAAGTCACAAGAGGTATTGTGAACCGCAAAGCGCAGGCCCATTACCGACAGGTGATTGTCCCTCGCAACCGAGGTTCCATGCACCACTAGTTCTTGCTTGGAATCGTTGTACGGCGAGACATAGAGTTGACATTTGGACAAATTTATCCGAAGCCCAAACTCCCTCAGCACCGTCATCCACTGTTCCACTCTGCGGGCTAAGCCTGGCAAGGACGTCTGCCAAAGAACGGCGTCATCAACGAACATTATCTCCGTCAAGCTCAGCCCCCGAAGTCCTGGGTCCTCCCTCGGCCATTTGTACCTTGTCGCTGTCTCCTCAAGCGTTAGCTCTGCTAGGGAGGTGAAGAAGCACCGGCTTTCGACCGAGCCTTGACGAATCCCATTGTAGAGATGTATCCTCGAGTCCCCCCACACAGTGTGCAGGTGAGCTTCCGAATGATTCAAAAGCTTCAGCCAGCACCTGGTTTCATGTCCAGCCCCTAACCTGGACTTCAAGAATGCCATCAGCCTGGGTTTCGAGACACAGTCGAAAGCCTTTTCCAGGTCGATCTTCAGAAAGGCCAGCCCGGCCTTCCATTCCCTTTCTAGGCTGAACAATTTGTTGATCACGTGGATATAGTCGATTGACTGCTTGCCTTCACCCGCACACTGAACGGAGCCTATGGGTTTCAGGTAGGCCTTCGCTCTAGACAAGAGGATTCTGCAGAACGTTTTCGACACCGACGAGCTGAGACAAATTGGCCTCAGGTGTTTCGGCTGTTCCGGCCTCGCTGTCTTCGGTAGTATTATCATCAATGACGAGAGCCAGTCTGTCGGCATGTCCGATGTCCTGAGAAGGTGGTTGAACCAGTTCAGGAGGGCGCTCTCACCGCCCTCGGCTTGAAGGACCCCTTCCAGCAGCTCCTGGGAGGTGCCGTCCTTTCCCACACTCTTGCCTTTCTTGCCCGCTGTCACTGCTTGTCGAAGCTCCTCCGGAGTGATGGGGTTGAAGGGCAGGTTGGGTACGAAATCCGTCAATAAGTCGGGTGGCTCCGACCCATAGATACTTTGCAGGTGCTCATGGATGACCCTGTGGGGTTCGTCCCCCTGTGCCTCGGCGAAACTTGTTTCCCAGTCCACCCCGGCTTTGGTTTGGGTACGGCGGTACGCTTTCCAGTCTCCTTCTGTTGAGTCGCGAATTTGTTTTTCACGGAAAGCCTGCTTTCCCCGCCTCCTTGCCGCGAAGGCCGTCTTCCACTCGTCCGAAGACCTCCCTCGCCTAGCCATCTCGAAAAGGGTTTTAACATCAGCAGGATCACGATAGCCGCACCTCGACTCGACCTTGGTACATTCGGTCGCCAGCTTTTTGATCTCTTCCTGGTCAAGGAAAGTCACGGGGGGAACGGGCTTAATCAAGACCCTGGGCTTGGTGGACACTCTGCGTCGGCATCGCCCAGTTTGGAGAAGCATCCGTGTAGATAGAAGCTCATGATCAGTACCAATGACCGCGTGGCTACCCTGGAAGATCTGAGAGCACTCGGTCGTAACTCTGGCACATGCGACGAAGTCGATGGTACGTCCTTGTCTCTGGCTTTGTCTCGGCCTGCTCGTCGGCAGTTCTTTTTGGGCCTGATTAGGAGCGACAAGTTCGATCCCTCTGGAGGCCAGCTCAATCAAGAACTGGTTCCCCTTCCCGCTCTTAGAGGCCGCCTGGAGCCCCTGTGGACCGCCGTCCACCCAGCCGTATGGAGTGTTCAGGTCTGCCCCTATAATCGTGGGAAGGTGGGTGGCCGGGAGGGCATTGAGGAACTCCTGGGTTCTTCGTTGGTGTTCGGTCTGGTTGCAATCCGGTTTGATGTACAGGCTCCCCACCCACAACTCCTGGCTATTGCTGATGTGTCTCAACCGGATCCAAATTCCACACTCTGAAGCATGTCCAGCACTTGTCCCACCCCTCTCCACTGACCTTTTTCGCGATGTGACACCTTGAGGTGGGAGAAGGTCTGACTCTGCCAGCCTGCCTCCCTTCGAGGGATTTCTTGAAGGATGACCAAGTCCTCATCACGAAGTGCTTGGCCGCTTGCTTCGCCGAGAGCTTTGGGGAGGTCACCAAAAACCACCCCACCAACATTCCAGCTCAGCACCCGGACTTTGGCATTGCCATTGTCCTCGCTTCAGTATTGGTGGTTGTCCACCATCTCCCTTACACTTGCTGTGTCAATCCCGACCTTCTCCGCCAGGCCTTTCACATCGACCCATCCTGGCCCAGCTTTCGTAGTGACCACTGTTGCTCTATGCGGTGCTTCTCCCAGCCCGGACAGCTGTGCCTCTCCCAGCCAGGACATGCCGTTGGCGTACTCCAAGTCCAACTCCTCTTTCAGGCCAAGTCGGTGCGTCATGACGACTTTCTTTACGACCCCTGTGAGGGAGGCCTTGCCCCTTTCTTCGGGTGACCGGCTAAAGGAACACCATAGAGTCTTCTCTGCCCCCACCAATTGAGCCTGGGCCCCATTGACGGCCGTGAGAACCTCCATCATCCTGCTACGAACTTCGCTCGGTCCTTCGCCTTGCCGAGGCTTGAAGTTGGGTAGTGCAATGGACCTTCGGGGTCCTGTTGTGAAGGGGAGCTCGTCCAACACCGGGCGAAGCTTGAGTTTCTCCACCACCTCCGAGAGCTGGTGGAGCACCACATGTCTTCGGGTCTGGCGCCCCCACCCTCCGAACACGAGTGTGTGCTTCTTGCCCTCGCCGAGTCCTGGCCCGCCTTGGCCCTCGAGCTTCCGCAGCCGATCGCCCAGGAGGCGAACCTGAGCAGCCAGCTCTTCGGTAGCCTGGCTTTGCTTGGTATCCAGTTTCTCCATCTTGGTGTCCTGTCTGGCTTCCAGGTCCGTCAGTGCCTTGTTCAGCGTCGTTCTTTGAGCCTCCATCAAAGTCGCGCTCTGCTGGGAGAGCAGAGCCTGGATGGCCCCTAGTGTGACCGCCTCGGCCACCTGCGGCACCTGTGGAATCTTGGCTAACCCCCGAGGTCTCTTGGTGGGGCTCTTATCCAGGTCTTCATCGCGACCAGGTGGCGCCGGAACCTCGCTAGGCAGGCCAATGTGCATCCCTTGAGGCTCCCTTGTCCCTTCACCGGCAACGGGGAGGGTCGCCCTCAGATAGCCCCTGTCACCCACTGGGTCACCTTGCGGAGAATCGCACCGTCGAGGCCCTCAGTCGTCTCGTGCACCCGCCGACCTTCACCTCAAAGTTCGGAAGCGAGCCGCAGCGCACCACCGCAGCCCCTACAGAGGGTTTAGGGCTTAGGGCTTTGAGTTCAGGGTTTAGGGTTTAGGGTTTAGGGTTTAGGGTTTAGGTTTAGGCTAGGGTTTAGGGCTTAGGGTTTTGAGTTCAGGGTTTNNTAGGGTTTAGGGGCTAGGGGTTAAGGTTTCGGCTAGAACTGGCTTGGATTAGAGCTGGGGTGTTTATCGCACTGGGCTTTTAATTGGTTTAGGCTGTGCACCCTTAGATTGCTCTATAAATCCATAGGGGGGGGGGGGGGGGG